AATTTAAGAAACCAAATCGCAATGGATTCTACAATGGTGTTTAAATGCGTAACACCGTGCCATATTACATTGGTTTCTTAAATTGCCTGAAATGAACAAAGCCTGAAAATCAGAGAAACATATTTCATTACTTCAAAATCATCATATGCCATAAAAGTTTTACTCACACCAACACGAAATTTAGGCATTGGAGGCAATGAAAGAAACCAAATTGCCATGGCTGGTATAATGGTGGTTAGTAAGGGGACCAAACGCCAAGTTACGTTCAGGTTTCTTCACTGCCTCAAACAAAAAAAGCCTAAAAATAACTGTAACAGAATTGGGAAGCCTTAAAATCAAAGCTTAAAACCGTTTTATCTCAGATATGAAATCCAGTGTTGTGCTTGAGTCATATAAGAAACGAATTCGCCATGGCTGCAACAGCGATTGAATCCGTAATTCCACGCCAAGATACGTTCGTTTCTTATATGAACAAAGGCTAAAAATCTCAGAAACGGATTTCGTTTCTTCAAAATCAGCACAGCCATAAACTCATTCACACCGGAGTAAAATGGATACATTTCAGGCTATTTTCGTTTTAGGCATTGAAAAAACCGATGTGATATGGCGTGGCGTTACCGAATTAATCACCGTTGTAGCCCAGATTTGAAATTAGTTTTGTTCTTGAGTCATTAGAAACGAATTTTCCATGGCTGCAACAACGTTTAATTCCGTAGTGCCACACCAAGATACGTTCATTCCTACGATGCCTCAAACTTAAAGAGACTAAAGATCTCATAAACAGATTTCGTTTCTTCAAAATCATCACAGCCATAAACTCATACACAGACCCACGTGAATGGCTACATTTCAGGCTTTTTAAGAAACCAAATCGCAATGGATTCTACAATGGTGTTTAAATGCGTAACACCGTGCCATATTACATTGGTTTCTTAAATTGCCTGAAATGAACAAAGCCTGAAAATCAGAGAAACATATTTCATTACTTCAAAATCATTATATGCCATAAAAGTTTTACTCACACCAACACGAAATTTAGGCATTGGAGGCAATGAAAGAAACCAAATTGCCATGGCTGGTATAATGGTGGTTAGTAAGGGGACCAAACGCCAAGTTACGTTCAGGTTTCTTCACTGCCTCAAACAAAAAAAGCCTAAAAATAACTGTAACAGAATTGGGAAGCCTTAAAATCAAAGCTTAAAACCGTTTTATCTCAGATATGAAATCCAGTGTTGTGCTTGAGTCATATAAGAAACGAATTCGCCATGGCTGCAACAGCGATTGAATCCGTAATTCCACGCCAAGATACGTTCGTTTCTTATATGAACAAAGGTTAAAAATCTCAGAAACGGATTTCGTTTCTTCAAAATCATCACAGCCATAAACTCATTCACACTGGAGTAAAATGGATACATTTCCCTCTATGTTCGTTTGAGGCACTGAAGAAACCGACGCAATATGGCGTGGCGTTACCGAATTAACCACCGTTGTAGCCCAGATTTGAAATTAGTTTTGTGCTTGAGTCATTAGAAACGAATTCGCCATGGCTGCAACAACGTTTAATTCCGTAGTGCCACAGCAAGATACGTTCATTCATACGATGCCTCAAACTTAAAGAGACTAAAGATCTCAGAAACAGATTTCGTTTCTTCAAAATGATCACAGCCATAAACTCATACAAAGACCCACGTGAATGGCTACATTTTAGGCAATTAAAGAAACCAAATCCCAATGGATTCTACAATGATGCTTAATTGCGTAACACCCCGTCATATTACATTGGTTTCTTAAATTGCCTGCAATGAACAAAGCCTTAAAACGAGAGAAACATATTTCATTACTTCAAAGTCATCATATGCCATACAATTTTTACTCACACCAGCACGAAATTTAGGCGTTTGACGCAATGAAAGAAACCAAATCACCATGGCTGCTTCAACGGTGGTAAATTCCGTAACGCCACACCAAGTTGCATTCAATTCTTCAATGCCTCAAACTTTAAAAACCTGAAAATCAAAGTAATTAATTTTATAAATTCAAAATCTGAACACCCGTGATTTCTTATACACACCCACACAAAATTGATAGATTTGAGGCAATCTAAGAAACCAAATTGCCATGGCTGGTATAATGCTGGTTAGTAAGGTAACACAACGCCAAGTTACGTTCAGATTTCTTCACAGCTCAAACAAAAAAAGCCTAAAAATCACTGTAACAGAATTGGGAAGCCTAAAAATAAGAGCCTAAATTCGTTTTAGCTCAGATTTGAAATCCAGTGTTGGGCTTGAGTCATATAAGAAACGAATTTGCCATGGCTGCGACAGCGGTTGAATCCGTAATGCCAGGCCAAGATACATTTGTTTCTTATATGAACAAAGGCTAAAAATCTCAGGATTTCGTTTCTTCAAAATCAGCAGAGCCATAAACTCATTCACACCGGAGTAAAATGGATACATTTCAGGCTATGTTCGTTTGAGGCATTGAAGAAACCGACGCGATATGGCGTGGCGTTACCGCATTAACCACCGTTGTAGCCCAGATTTGAAATTAGTTTTGTGCTTGAGTCATTAGAAATGAATTCACCATGGCTGCAACAACGTTTAATTCCGTAGTGCCACACCAAGATACGTTCATTCCTACGATGCCTCAAACTTAAAGAGACTAAAGATCTCATAAACAGATTTCGTTTCATCAAAATCATCACAGCCATAAACTCATACACAGACCCACGTGAATGGCTCAATTTCAGACAATTTAAGAAACCAAATCGCAATGGATTCTACAATGGTGTTTAAATGCGTAACACTGTGCCATATTACAATAGTTTCTTAAATTGCCTGAAATGAACAAAGCCTGAAAATCAGAGAAACATATTTCATTACTTCAAAATCATCATATGCCATAAAAGTTTTACTCACACCAGCACGAAATTTAGGCGTTGGAGGCAATGAAAGAAACCAAATTGCCATGGCAGGTATAATGGTGGTTAGTAAGGGGACCAAACGCCAAGTTACGTTCAGGTTTTTTCACTGCCTCAAACAAACAAAGTCTAAAAATCTCTGTAACAGAATTGGGAAGCCTAAAAATCAAAGCTTAAAACCGTTTTATCTCAGATATGAAATCCAGTGTTGTGCTTGAGTCATATAAGAAACAAATTCGCCATGGCTGCAACAGCGATTGAATCCGTAATTCCACGCCAAGATACGTTCGTTTCTTATATGAACAAAGGCTAAAAATCTCAGAAACGGATTTCATTTCTTCAAAATCATCACAGCCATAAACTCATTCACACCGGAGTAAAATGGATACATTTCAAGCTATGTTCGTTTGAGGCACTGAAGAAACTGACGCAATATGGCGTGGCGTTACCAAATTAACCACCGTTGTAGCTTAGATTTGAAATTAGTTTTGTGCTTGAGTGATTAGAAACAAATTTGCCATGGCTGCATTAACGTTTAATTCTATAGTGCCACACCAAGACACGTTCATTCCTACGATGCCTCAAACTTAAAGAGACTAAAGATCTCAGAAACAGATTTCGTTTCTTCAAAATCATCACAGCCATAAACTCATACACAGACCCACGTGAATGGCTACATTTTAGGCAATTTAAGAAACAAATTTGCCATGGCTGGTATAATGGTGGTTAGTAAGGTAACACAACGCCAAGTTACGTTCAGATTTCTTCACTGCCTCAAACAAAAAAAGCCTAAAAATCACTGTAACAGAATTGGGAAGCCTAAAAATAAGAGCCTAAATTTGTTTTAGCTAAGCTTTGAAATCCAGTGTTGGGCTTGAGTCATATAAGAAACGAATTCGCCATGGCTGCGACAGCGGTTGAATCCGTAATGCCAGGCCAAGATACATTTGTTTCTTATATGAACAAAGGCTAAAAATCTTAGGATTTCGTTTCTTCAAAATCAGCACAGCCATAAACTCATTCACACCGGAGTAAAATGGATACATTTCAGGCTATGTTCGTTTGAGGCATTGAAGAAACCGACGCGATATGGCGTGGCGTTACCGAATTAACCACCGTTGTAGCCCAGATTTGAAATTAGTTTTGTGCTTGAGTCATTAGAAACGAATTCGCCATGGCTGCAACAACGTTTAATTCCGTAGTGCCACACCAAGATACGTTCATTCATACGATGCCTCAAACTTAAAGAGACTAAAGATCTCATAAACAGATTTCATTTCTTCAAAATCATCACAACCATAAACTCGTACACAGACCCACGTGAATGGCTACATTTCAGGCAATTTAAGAAACCAAATCGCAATGGATTCTACAATGGTGTTTAAATGCGTAACACCGTGCCAATTACATTGGTTTCTTAAATTGCCTGAAATGAACAAAGCCTGAAAATCAGAGAAACATATTTCATTACTTCAAAATCATCATATGCCATAAAAGTTTTACTCACACCAGCACGAAATTTAGGCGTTGGAGGCAATGAAAGAAACCAAATTGCCATGGCTGGTATAATGGTGGTTAGTAAGGGGACCAAACGCCAAGTTACGTTCAGGTTTCTTCACTGCCACAAACAAACAAAGCCTAAAAATCACTGTAACAGAATTCGGAAGCCTAAAAATCAGAGCTTAAAATCGTTTTATCTCAGATTTGAAATCCAGTGTTGTGCTTGAGTCATATAAGAAACGAATTCGCCATGGCTGCAACAGCGGTTGAATCCGTAATGCCACGCCAAGATACATTTGTCTCTTCTATGAACAAAGGCTAAAAATCTCATAAACGGATTTCGTTTCTTCAAAATCATCACATTCATAAACTCATTCACACCGGAGTAAAATGGATACATTTCACGCTATGTTCGTCTGAGGCACTGAAGAAACTGAAGCAATATGGCGTGGCGTTACCGAATTAACCACCGTTGTAGCTCAGATTTGAAATTAGTTTTGTGCTTGAGTGATTAGAAACAAATTCGCCACGGCTGCAACAACGTTTAATTTCGTAGTGCCACACCCAGACACGTTCATTCCTACGATGCCTCAAACTTAAAGAGACTAAAGATCTCAGAAACAGATTTCGTTTCTTCAAAATCGGCACAGCCATAAACTCATACACAGACCCACGTGAATGGCTACATTTCAGGCAATTTAAGAAACCAAATCGCAATGGAGTCTACAATGGTGCTTAATTGCGTAACACCGCGCCATATTACATTGGTTTCTTAAATTGCCTGAAATGAACAAAGCCTGAAAATCAGAGAAACATATTTCATTACTTCAAAATCATCATATGCCATACAATATTTACTCACACCAGCACGAAATTTAGGCGTTTGAGGCAATGAAAGAAACCAAATCGCCATGGCTGCTTCAACGGTGGTTAATTCCGTAACGCCACGCCTAGTTGCATTCAATTCTTCAATGCCTCAAACTGTAAAAACCTGAAAATCAAAGTAATTAATTTCATAAATTCAAAATCTGAACACCCGTGATTTCTTATACACACTCACACAAAATTGATACACTTGAGGCAATCTAAGAAACCAAATTGACATGGCTGGTATAAAGGTGGTTAGTAACGTAACACAACGCCAAGTTACGTTCAGTTTCTTCACTGCCTCAAACAAACAAAGCCTAAAAATCACTGTAACAGAATTGGGAAGCCTAAATATTAGTTCCTAAAACTGTTTTAGCTCAGATTTAAAATCCAGTGTTGGGCTTGAGTCATATCAGAAACGAATTCGCCATGGCTGCAACGGCGGTTAAATCTGTAATGCCACGCCAAGATACGTTTGTCTCTTATATGAACAAGGGCTAAAAATCACATAAACGGATTTCGTTTCTTCAAAATCATCACAGCCATAAACGCATTCACACCGGAGTAAAATGGATACATTTCAGGCTATGTTCGTTTGAGGCATTGAAGAAACCGACGTAAATGGCGTGGCGTTACCGAATTAACCACCATTGTAGCTCAAATTTGAAATTGGTTTTGTGCTTGAGTCATTAGAAACGAATTCGCCATGGCTGCAACAACGTTTAATTCCATAGTGCCACACTAAGATACGTTCATTCCTACGATGCCTCAAACTTAAAGAGACTAAAGATCTCATAAACAGATTTCGTTTCTTCAAAATCATCAAAGCCATAAACTCATACATAGACCCACGTGAATGGCTACATTTCAGGCAATTTAAGAAACCAAATCGCAATGGAGTCTACAATGGTGCTTAATTGCTTAACACCGCGCCATATTACATTAGTTTCTTAAATTGCCTGAAATGAACAAAGCCTGAAAATCAGAGAAACATATTTCATTACTTCAAAATCATCATATGCCATAAAATATTTACTCACACCAGCAC